TACGGTAGGAAATGTACAAAATATCTTCATGGAACATGATCTTTACTTAATATCCTAATGATTTTTGACAAAAGAAAAATTTATAATTTTGACCCAAACAGTGTATTGTTGGCTATTGCTACAAATATACCCCAGCGACTTAACACTGCTTTTGTGCTCCAGGGTCACATATAGTGTAATATATCATGAGTACTTATGGCATGCTTACAAGTCAAATTCCCAATTTGCCCAATAAACATGAACTCTATTAACCTTCCATTTATTAGCTTTGAGCTTCAGCCACAATGCCACCAAAACTCAACTCACAAACATACACCAAAATCCCATAATCAATCCACCTAAAGAACAAACATGGATTGTAATTTAAAAAAATCTCTTTTTAAGCGCTGGGCAGTAACTGATTACATGTAATCTGGATTACGTAATCTGATTCTATAAATTAAGTACTTGTAACTAGATATCACATCTTTAAATACTTGTAATGACTACAGTTAATTTTTTAATGATTACATATTATTCACACAATAACAATAAAGTATTCATAATGTTTTGATTCTCTTTAAGTCTTCTTTTTCATCTTTTACATTTTCATTTTTAATATAGCCTGCCGCTTATATATACTCAGAAAGTCTGGACATTCACATAAAGACCACTAGTCAGGTGGCCACGCAGCATCTGACCACTGGATTTACAAAAATAATTTCAATTTTAAACATTTCAACATTGCATCAACTACTAATGAACACATAATTTTTTATTTGAACTTTTATTTGGGTTATTGTCTTTTGAAGGCCTTTGTCTTTCAAACACATTAAAAATGCACAAATTCACATGTAATGCAGGGATTCACAAACTATTTTTTTGTCAGCCAAACCTTTTTCACCTAATAAATTTACTTGAAGCTCCCCTGAGATATTAAAGTCTGTGTAAAGAGAATTCTTATTTTTTTTTAGCATTAACATTTGGCTGGGTGCTTAATAACACATTTTTCTGTGGTGTGATAAACTCAGAACACACATTTAATATTGACTTTACACGGACTTTAAGGTAATAAGTTAATAATTAAGTAACACACACAAGACATTTGCATATTCACGGTTTAAAAGTAATCTAAAAGTAATCAAAAGTAGTCTGATTCGATTACCTAATGGATTACATTACTAACCACAGATTTTGTCATGTAATTTGGAATCAGTAATGGACTACAACTGGTAAGTCTGCCTAGCAATGCTCATTTTAATAAGTTAATAATTAAGTCACAAATTGGCATATATCACAGTTCAAAAGTAATCAAAAAGTAATCTGACTGTATTACCTCAAATATTTAATGTAATGGATTACATTACTAACCAAAATTTTGTCATGTAATTTGGAATCAGTAACAGATTACAATTTGTAAGTAAATCTACCCAGCAATGCTCATTTTAATAAGTTAATAATTAAGTAACAGATTTTGCATATTCACGGTTAAATACTAATCTAAAAGTAATCAAAAAAGTAATCTGATTACATTACCTAAGATGTGTGTAATAGATCACATTACTAACCAAATTTTTTTCATGTAATTTAGAATCAGTAATGGACTACAATTTATAAGTAAATCTACCCAGCAATGCTCATTTATCACGGTACAAGTCTTCAGCGTCTGCAGTATAGAACTTGACCGCATGGTCTCCACCGTCCAAGACAACAAGCACGTCCCCAACAATCACATCTCCATTTCTATCAAAAGCCACCGCAGATATAACCAAACTCAAAGCGTTCTTCAAGTGAAGACTGAAACCGTCCACCTGCGCCAAAGGAACGAAGTCACTATTGAACATCCTCAGCGTGAAGCTGCTCTGAAGTCGCTCCATGATTGCGATGTTTCCTGAAGCTCTGCAAGAAGCAACCGAACGCGGATGCGTCAATTCTTTCAAAACGACTAGGTTCGCTAAAACCACACCAGAAGAAAAGTCCATTACGTCTTAGGCTTCCCATCTGAGCGTCGGTCACAAAAACACGTCCACGGTTGTCCACATCTACACCCCACGGCAGTCGAAAACATTGGACGGTCGCTAAAGGAGTGAGTGACTTTGAGTGACGGGTCACCAGCATCAGTGACCAAAACATGTCCAGTTTTGGTCAACGCAACATCTAGTGTGTAACAGACGTTGGACAGCCATCCAAAGGCGTTCAAGAGGCGTTCACTAAAAACGGCATCATGCACCACCACAATCTGTCCTAATGTTTCGTCCACAGCCATTCCAGTAGGGTTGACCATT